GCCTGGAGGCTGAGGACTTCGAAATATAGGCTGGCCCTAGCCCTGCCTGGAGGCTGTGAAGTTCAACCTCTAAACCGGCCCCAGCCCAGCCTAGAAGCTGAGTAGGTTGACATGCAGGCCGGACCCTGCACGCAAGCTAGCAGGCTGAAGAATTCAAACTTCTGACCGGCCCCAGCCCAGCTGGAGACTGAGGATGTCCACCTGCAGTCTGGCCACATCCCAGCCTGGAGCCTGAGATGGACGACCTGCAGGCCGGCCCAAGCACAGCCTGGAGGTTGCGTAGGTCGACCTGCAAGACAGCCCCAGTCCAACTCAGAAGCTGAGGAGGTCGACCTGCAGGCCTGTCTCATCCTAGCCTGTGCGGTCGACCTGCAGGCTGGCCACTGCCCAGCTCAAGGCTGAGGAATTCGACCTCTAAGCCAGCCCCAGCCCAGCCTAGAGGCTGAGTAGGTTGACCTGCAGGATGGCACAGCCCAGACTGGAGGCTGAGGAGTTCGACCTGCAGGACGGCCCCAGCACAGCCTGAAGGCTGAGGAGGTCGACCTAGCAGGGTGGCCCCAGCCCACCTTGAGGGGTGAAGAGTTCAACCTGCAGTCCGGATGCTGTGGAGGTCGGCCAGCAGGCTGGCCCCAGCCAGCCTGGAGGCTGAATAGGTCAACCTGTAGGCCAGATCACCCAGCCTGATTGCTGAGGAATCTGACCTGTAGGCCGGCCCCAGCCCAGCCTGGGGGCTGAGGAGTTCGACCTCTAAGATGGCCCCAGCCCAGTCTACAGGCTGAGTAGGTCGACCTGCAGGTCAGCCAGACATCACCATGGATTGCTCCAGTAGGTCGGCTCCAGCCAGCTGGCAGGCTGAGGAATTCGAACTTCAGGCTGGCCCCAGCCCAGCCTGGCAGTTGAGAGGTCAACCTGCAGGCCGGCCCCAGCCCATCCTGGAGGCTGAGGTGATCGACGTGAAGGACGGCCCCAGCTGACACTGGAGGCTGAGGAGGTCCACCTGCAGGCCAGCCCCAGCCCAGCCTGGAGGCTGAGGAGGTTGACTTGAAGGCCTGCTCGAGCACAGCCTGGAGGCTGTGGCCGTCGACTGGAGGCAGGCCAAGGTCAGCCTGGAGGCTGATGGATCAAGCGGCAGGTCAGTCTGTCTCAGCCTGGAGTCTGAGGAGTTGTAGCTGCAGGCCGGCCCTGGCTCAGTTGGAGGCTGAGGGGGTCGAACAGTACCTGGATCATCTCAGTCTGGAGGCTGAGGTGGTTGACCAGAGACTCCCTGAACTCAGCCTTGAGGCTATGGGGTTGACCAGAGAACTACTCCAGTTCAGCCCAGAGGCTGAGGGGGTCAAGCGGCAGGCAGGCCTTGGCTCGGCATGGAGGCTGAGATGGTCGAGCAGCAGGCGGTCCCGGCTCAGCCTGGAGACTGAGGGGTTTGAGGGGCAGCCACTCCCTGTCTCAGCCCGGAGGCTGAGGGAGTTGAGCAGTGGGCTGGCCCCAAGTCAGCCTAGTGGCTGTATTGGTGGACTGTCAGCCCAGCCCCAACTCACCCTGGAGTCTTAGGGGGCCTCTGGCACCTGCCCCAGCTTAGCCTGGAGGCTGAGCCCTCATACTGACAAGCAGGTCGTAGCTCTGCTTGGGGGTGCTGAGAGGGTTGACTAGCAGGTCGGCTCCATCTCAGCTTTGAGGCTGAGGAGGTTGTCCAACAGGCGGCCCCAGCTCAGCCTGTTGGCTGCGAGGGTGGACCAGCAGCCCAGCCCCTGTTCAGACTGAAGAATGAGGAGTTTTACTGGCAGTCAGGCCCTGGCTCAGACTGGAGCCTTGGGGGTCGACTAGTGGGCCCACCCAAGCTCAGCCTGGAGGCTGAGGGGGTGGATCTTAGCTGGTCTCAGCTCTGGCTGGAAGCTGATGGGGTCGACCAGCAGCCAGGCCCCAGATCAGCCCAGAGTTGAGGGGTCGACCAGCAGGCCGGTTCTAGCTAAGCCTCGAGGCTCAGAAAGTTGACCTGGAGGCTCAGAAAGTTGACCTTTCAGCCTGGAGCCTGAAAGCAGGCTTGGTTTTGAGGTCTGTGGTCTGCACCCCTCATCCCCCCGTCCACCAAAGTATGCTGTGTGAACGGATGCTGGCCCCTGGATCCCACAGCCCTTCTAACTCCACAGCAGCTGGGGTGGGAGGGGGAAGATTAGGGGTGCAGCTTTGAACCCATGTCAGCTGGGCAACAAACCCTCACTAGTCTTCAAACTGGAAGTAATCCCACTGCCACCCTGTCCTGATGGGCTGGAAGCCCCATCTTCCTCTGAGGGTTTCACCCCCCCATAAAATCTGGGGGCTACTGGCCTTTCTGTACCAGAAAATGAAGAGTAGCTCGAGCCCCCACCTGTGGCAGAGCTGTGCTGGAGAGCCCTGGGGCTCGAGTCTGGCTTGGGCCTCCCCCGAGCTGCGTGGTCTCCGGAGGACTGCTCACTGGCCTGTGCCTCCATTTGCTCATCTTAAAAACGGTGCTATTACGAGCATCTACTAGGTGGGTCCTTTTGTGAGGTTTGAGCATGTTCACGTGTGTAAAATGATTCTGCCTGGCTTGGCGGAGGCTCAGGCCCAGTTCGCTGTCACCTTCACAACAGAAGGGGCTGTAAGCCTCGCCCCCAGCTAGTCACCCGCTCACCCCTTAACTGCCCAAACAGGAGTCCTGCCACTCCCTGGAGGCCCTGCTGTCAGCTGCAGGGAGGTGCTTCCCTCCGCTTTCTAGGGTCACAGAACTGCACCTTCAAAATATGCAGCCCTGGGCCTCCCCTGGTGGCGCAACGGTTGGGCGCTGGGCTGTGAAGCTGCCTGCAGCCTCTGCAGCGCCGGTTCGATCCCCGGCCACCGGCGAGGGTCCCACATGGCGCACAGACCTCTCCTGCCATCCGCTGCTCCCCTCAGCAGTGTATTTCGTCAGTCTGCCTGTTCTGTTCTCCACTCTGGCTCTGGTAAATTCTCTCACCCTCCTGCTCTTCTGACTGTACCCAGTGTTTGTATAAATAAAAAAATAAATAAATCTTAAAAAAAAAACACAAACATGCAGCCCAGTCACCCTGAAGGATGTGGAAGTGATGGGTTGCAGGGAGCTTTCAAAAGAGGGACTCCCTCTCTGTTGCCCTGGGCCCTGCAGGAGGCCCTGTCCTCGCCGACCATGACCACCGTCATGTCTGCCTGTGCGGAAACCACCGAGGCTTCCGGCTGCCCGCCCTCCTCACCTGGACAGGACTGGGAGTTGGACCCCCATGGGACAAGGGACGCCAGGACGAGGAGGCTCACAGGCCCTGGTGCAGAGTTATGAGCCCCCCAGGACAGCAGCACCCCCACCCCAGGTGTGTCTCTGCCCGGGGATGGGGAGGTGCAGGCTCTCCCCTTCCTCAGGGACACCTCTGCGTTTCCCCCCCAAAGAGATCCGCTCCCTCCTCCAGAAGCCCAAACTGCCACCAGCCCCCAAAGCTTGCACATAAGACCTTCCCCTGGGGCCTCTGCTGGTGGCCTCAGGGGGCAGAGGTCCCTTAATGGCAGCCGGGCCCCAGGAGGCCATCTTGGCCCACCCTGTACTTGCTCAGTGACTCTGGCAAGCCCAACCCGCTTTCCCAGCCTCAGTTTCCCTATCAGCGAGGGTGTTAAGCTACGTGATCCCCAGGATCACTGAGCATTCACAAACACTCCTAAAAGTCCTCTTTCCCGTCATTTCTCCTGCTCAAAAACCTACAGTGGCTCCCCAGTGCCCGAGAATCAACATCCCTCCTTGGTCTGGCAAACTGGGCCTCCACAGTGCTCCACAGTGCCCTGCCCGCTCCCCCCAAGAGGCTCCAGCCCAGGTCTGCCTTCTCCTCTGGCCCCCACACCCCTGCCCCTACTTCCCTTCCCATGGCCCACCCTGGGAAAGCCTGGGGGTCCCTCAGACCTGGGTTTGGGCTCCGGGGCTCTTGTTTAATGAGCTATGTGGCCGAGGGCCAGTTGCCTCACCTCTGTGCGTGGGGCTCCTCCCCAGGTCACAGGGAATCGTTCCCCAGTCCCCAGTGCGATGGGCCACCAGGTTGGTGAACTCACAGAGGCCCCTGATAGGGACTTGGTTGATGGGAGGGAGAGCGACAGGAGTGGGGGAGGAGGACAGAGGCAGAGAGAGGTGGGCGAGAGGGGGAGAGAGGGAGGGGAAAGGGGGCGGCCCCCCCAGAGAGCTGTGTGGCGGGTCAGCTCTTGTTCTAACAGGGACAGGTGAGTCAGTCACCTCACCTGGGTGCTGAAGGGAAATGAACTGAATCTGGCCTCTAACCTCACAGGAGGCAGCTGGGCCCACCAGGACCAGGAGGGCAGAGCTGAATACAGGGCGGAGCCCCCGGGCACTGGGGCTGTGGAAGGGAGCAGGCACTGCCCGCTGGAGGAGGGGTGGAGAGCGCCGGGGTGGAGAGAGCTCACAGGGAAAAGCCTGGGCAGCAGTGGACGGCTGTGTGGAGGGGAGAAGCTCTGTAGCTCTGAGGACAAAGGGGCAGGGGCATGGGAATGTTCTGGAGAGCGGGAGTTCAAATTAGGGAGGGCCTGGCAGGCTTGGCAGGCTGTGGACTTCGCCCAGAGGGCAGCCAGGAGCCGTTGGGACCTTTGCAAAGGGAGTGCCTGGCATTCTGGGGTGTCTGGCTCTCCACTGCCTGATAAGCCTGCAGGAGGTGGCTGGAGGGGGCGGCCTGTAAGAGAGACGGGTTGGGGCCAACAGGCAGCTGGCAGTCCTTGGGGTGGGGGGAGGTCTGGCTGCCTGGAGCCCCAGGCAGGGGGAGGCCACGCAGAGCTCCAGGAGGGTCACACAGGAGAGGTAACTTGGAAGCACAGGAAACCCCCCAGAGTCACTCCCAGGTGTGAGTAGACCTGGTGACAGAATCCAGCACTGGAGGGCAGGGACTGTGCTACATTTAAGACTTCCCTTTCCTCAGGTTGAGATGGTTTCCCCAGTGGCTATAATCACAGGTGTCCCTGTGAGGTTCACCCCCTCCAGCAGGAAGTCCTCCAGGGAGTACCCTATGGCCTGGAGTCTCATCTACCTCCCCGTACTCTGGATGCCTATTGTCTCCTAGTAGGTCCAGGGCCTGGACCCACAGCCTGGCCATCCCCCTCCCTAAGGCAGACTGAGAGGGGGCAGTGGGTCCCCTGTGCTCACCCAGCCCCTCTGTAGCCACAGCACAGTTTTCCTCTCATGTTTATTGGTTCCCAAGGGCAGCCCCACCCAGAGGAGGCCAGTGGGCTCAGATCTTGCGGCTTCCAAAGACAGGGCGGTTCACGTGCTCGGGGGAGGCCAAGAAGGCCTTGAGCTTGGGCCGGGCGCTGAGACGGGCCACATAGGCTGAAAGCAGGGGGAGAGAATCCAGGCAGCCGGGGGCCAGGACCTGGTGATTCAGCAGCAAGTCCAGCAGGTTGTAGTCGGCGAAGGAGATCTGCAGGGCAGGGAGGGGGTCAGGAGAGACAGGTAGCGAGGGGCTGTGGGAGCCCGAATACAGCTGCTGCAGAGCAAGAGTCAGGCCCCGCCCTGGACCTCAGTTTGTTCTTCTGAGAAATGGAGCTGCCATGGGCTAGACCTAGTACGCACCTGGTCACCCACAATGAAGGCCTGGCCCCCCTGGTTCTGGGCCAGCAGGGTCTCAAATGGCTTCAGGTAGCCTGGCAAGTCCTGGACATACTGGGCCTTGCCCTCCTCCTGTGAACGGGAGAGGTCCCAGTTGGTGGCACGCGTGTCTGGGCACAGAGCCCCCCCGGCCTGGCCCAAGGCCCACGCACATAGTTGTGGTGGATGAGGTGGCTGCAGCGCCGGCGGAGGTCCTCCACGCCGTCATTCACCATGTCCACCTGCGCCGCCTCCCGCGGGTCTCTGCCGTAGAGCCCTGGCCAGCAGCCGAGTGGGTCAGCCTCCTCGTGTTGGAGGCCTCCACTCCACAAGCCCACTTTCCTCGGTGACACTCCCAGTGCCCAGGACTCAGAAATTCCCTGCTCTAATGCTCCCAAGCCCCTTGCCCCAGGCCTGTGCCCTGAAAGGTTGGACCAAACCCTGGTGGGCGCCTCTCTAGGTGCAAGAGGTAGCTGTCTGTGGGAGCCCAACATGCTGTGCATGCTGGGGTATCCACACACCGTGCAGGGTGTGGGGGCTGGGGAGAAGGGCGGCAGGCCACAGCCCTCTCGGGCCCTGCAGAAGCAAGGCCAGGCCTGGGCTGGGCTGTGCCTGCTCCCCTGGCTCCTTCATCCTACTGGGACCTGGGATTTTCTCAACCCTCCAAGCTGGTGAAAGAAGAGCAGTCACCTACCTAAGCCAAGTTCCTGCCACCCTTGAATCAAGGCTGCAGGCCTGGCCCCTGGGAGCGTGAATTTCCCATATTCAGCTGAGCCTGGGCCGGGGGTCTGTCTGGAAACCTCTGGCCCAACAGACAGAGGCCTCCAGCCCATACCTGCACACACCTGCGGGGACACACCTGTGGGGGCACACCTGCGGGGGCACACCTGCTGGGGCACACCTGCTGGGGCTAGCTGGCGCTGATGGCTGGTCCAGGGGCATTGGCACCCCAGCCCCACACCCTTCCTAGAGCTCAGGCCCAGCATCCTGTGTACGGGCATCTGGTCTACCCTCCAGCCTGGCAGGATCTGCTGGCCACAGGTGTAGCAGCTCAGGCCCCAGGATGCTAGACCGGCCCTGCTGCCCCGGGGCCCCAGCACTCACCCAGGGAGCGACCCAGGTGCCTCAGGATGGCATTCGACTGGTACAGGGTGAGGTCTCCATCCTGGAACTTGGGGAGCTGCCCATACAGCTGGGGGCAGCACAGGTCCGTGAGGGGTGCTGAGTTCTGCTGCCCTCACCCTGCTTCACCCAAAGGCCCAGCACCTGCCCCTACCCACGGGCAGCCACTCACACAGGAGGCCTTGAGAGGGCCCTGCCGCCAGGCATCCTTGGTCACCACCTCCTCCTTCCAGGTCTGGCCCTGGTCGGCCAGCAGCATGCGCATGGCCTCGCAGCGCCCTGGCGGGGAGACAGCGTGTGGGGACGCAGACCCCAGCCTCACTGCACCCCGGGAGGGGGGAGGGCGCAGCACCCAAACCCCGACTTTAGAGCCATCTAGGGGGAGGATGGACCGGGGAGGAAGAGGGGAGGCCATGGCCCCAACGAAATGTTGAAGAGGGGCCAGAGACGGAGACCCCAGGCGCGGGCCACACCGTGCCCAGGATGAACAGGTTCGGGGTGCGGCCGCGGTGCGGCGAGGATGCTGTCACCACAGAAGCGGGTCCTGGCCCCGCCGCGGCCCGCCCCCGGAGTCCGGGCCCGACCCGCGACCCCAGGCCCGTCGGGGTCCCCGCCCTGCGCCCCCTCGCCCCGCCTCGCGCGCAGGCGGGCACCGAGGCAGCAGCCTGCGCATCCGGTTCGGGCCTCGCGCGCCCTTCGCCCTCCTGAAGGAGCAGCGCCGCACCTCGGGCGGGGAAGTACACGATGGTGTAGGGCGGCACTAGGAGAGACGGACAGACAGACAGGCTGCGTGAGGGCCCCGGGGCGGGCAGACCCCGAGGAGAGGGGTGACGGCCGGGGCCCGCCCCCCACCCTGTCGCGACCCAACTCACTGGAGGGCGGTGAAGTCCGGAGCAGCAGGAAGCGGGGCGGAGCCCGCGGGCCCGTATTTATGGTTCTGCTGCTCCCGCCCCGCCCCGGCCCCGGAGTGCGCCCGCGGGGAGCTCGGGGCGGGGCTGGAGCCGGCGGGACCGGCCCTAAAAAGGAAGCAGCCAGGTCCGGGCTTGAGAGAGGACCCGGGCTCGGCAACTGCCTCCACGCCGCCCGACCCGGCTGCCTGCGGCCCAGCTGGGGAGCCTGCGGCGTCTGCGAGGAGTTGCCTGAGCGCGCTGAGGATCTCTGCAAAGGGAACCGGCCCCGGAGCCTGGCGAGCGCGCCCACCTGAGGCTGCCCGTGCCCTGAGGAAGCGAGGCGGGGCTGCCGGCCGGCGCTGACCCCCGCCCTCCGGGAGCCGGGTGTGGCAGCAGTGTCAGTATCTTGGCGTGGACATACTTGAGGCTACTGTTTTGGAAGCACCCGTTTCCAAAAGCTGCTTTGAGATTTTTTGGGGGGAGGGGAGTCACCGCATTTTTCCAGGGCACACTCGTTTCATAGCACCAGACCAGCTGGTCCTGACTCTTGGCTTGCACCCCTTCCTTGGGACCTGGGAGAAGGGCGCTCACTTAATTCTTAGCTTTGGTTAACACCGGCCTGCAGGGCGGTGACTTTGGAGGAGTTGGCCACAGTTGGCGTCACACAGCCTCCGCTCCTCCCCACGCCAAACACACACAGCTCCACAGAGGACCCAAATGTGTCCCCAGCAGGCACTCAATAAATGCTCGTTGCATGAGTGGATGCAATGTCAATAGACATATCCATTTACACACGGTCTTTCCAAGATGACAATGCGAGGAAGCCCCGAGGGGTGCAGGCCTGTTGAGAAGGTCACATACATTGCCACCCTCAGACTTGGCCCTTCTGTGCCCCGTTTTATTTTTATTTTTTTAGGATTTATTTATTGGGCCTCCCTGGTGGCACGGGCGGTTGAGCACGGTGCTGTGAAGCTGTCCGCAGCCTCTGCAGTGCCGGTTCGATCCCCGCTGACCTCGGAGCAACCCACATGGTGGGCAGACCTCTCCTGTTTCGCCCTCTGCTCCCCGCTCTGTCTCTGGTGAATCCTCTCACCCTCCCGTGCATCTGGGCTGTGCCCCGGCTCTTGTATAAATAAAATTTAAAAAATTTATTTATGCATACAAGAACCGGGGTACAGGCCAGAGGTGCAGGAGGGTGAGAGGAGTCACCAGAGACAGAGTGGGGAACAGAACAGGCAGACTGACGAAATACACTGCTGAGGGGAGCAGTGGGCGAGTCACTGGCTGCCAGGGATCACTGCGGATTGCTTCACAGTGAGGTGCTTAACTGCTAAGCAAATGAAAACTTTCCTGTTTCCTGCTAGAGTCACAGGCCTGGTGCAGTAAATAATACAAAGTGTAAACAACAAGTTTGCTTCCTTAATAAGCATATCTAAAGGAGGTGACATTCTCACGCCATCCTCAGATAGCTGCATTTTTCCCTCTTTTGTCAAGAACTTTTGTCCTCACTGACCATGTTATCAACGGAAGATGGTTATGTATAAAAGAGACCCTTTGTCTCTAGACAGGTGCTCAGACCTTACAGGACTGCCCAGGTCTGGGACCTCATGCACAAGTAATGAAGCTTCTCCTGACCTCACCATTCCTGAAGTACGGCTTGTTCTTCCCTTGCCTGGGTAAAAGACTAGAATTTATTTCTGCAACACTTGCGCCACCAGGGAGGCCCTGAGCCTCGTTTTATAGAGCAGGAAATGGAAGCTCAGAGGTTAAGGGACTTTCCCAAGGTCACACAGCAGGAAACAGGATTCAAACCCAGGGCTGACTGGCCTCGGGCCTCACATTTCCTCCTCATCCTTTCTGCTCAAGGTTTTAGTTTCCAAATGTTTGTGGACTGAGTCTGAGGGCTTGGCGCATGCGAGGAAAGACAGGCGGGAAGGTGCCGGAAGGTGCAGAATCTGCGTGTCTGTCCCACAGTGCAACGCTTACCTCCCCACAGGCACATCTGGCTCCCCAGCCCCTGTGCTCCTGCCCTTCACTGGCCCACCCCTGGGGCTCACTGTGGTGCTGTGGGCTTCCTCCGGAACTGGGGCTTGACTGAGCTGGAGGTCTCAGCATGGGCTTCTAGTCAAAACTACGAGGAGGAAGCTGTCCTTCCTGGGTGCAGAACCACCCACCCAAAGCACAGGGAAAACCAAGCACCCCAATCAGGAGCATCCCTAAGCCTCTTAGAGTCCACAGCTGCCTGGGGCTGAGGGTGAGGAAGGGGGGAGGGAGCTGGGTTCTCATCCCTGCCTCACAGCTAGAGGAACATCTGTCTGCCCAGCACTTAGCAGCTGATGAATTCTTTCTTCTAAATAGTCTCACTTCATCTCCACACACCCTGGGAAGGAGCGAGTTTGTTCCCATAGTACAGACAGGACACCAAGGCTTGGAGAGGAGCCTGCTCCCTTTATGTGCAAGTAGCAACACCACCACCACCCCACCCCCACCCCCGCCCCCATCCATCAGGCCAGCTCTTGCCAGCTCACCCTTGCCAGCCATCACACTCACTTCCCGGGGCACGCTGGTTCCTAGGACAGCTTGGCACTGCGCGGTGGTGTTTCAGGTGTCTGCTGTACTCTCGGCTCTCTGGCTCCACAAGCCCAGCCTGTGATCAAGGAGCACCCCCCAGGAGCACCCCCAAGCGCCAACCCATCTTTATATCAGCACCCGTCTTTGGCAGGGTTTCAGTATGTATAGACAGCCTTATTGCTACAAACATTCACCCTTATAAAGTGCCCATCCCGTGGTTTTTAGCATAACTGGTGCACTAAACCTCTGCCACGATCGAATTCCAGAGAGAAGCCTGGTCCTCTTTAGCAGCCACTCCTCCTTCCCGCCCCACCCACTGTACTTTCTGCCACTTTGGGTTTGCCTAGTGTGGACATCTCACACGCGTGGACTCACATCTGTGTCCTTCATGTCTGGCTGCTTTCACGGAGCCTCAGGTCCCAAGGTTCACCCACGCTGTGGCCATGTCAGCACGTTGTTCCTTTTTATGGCCTGGCAATTCCCATCGCAGAGGTGCACACCTTGTGCTTACCTGTTCACCCACACAGTGGTGGACACCTGAGGGTGGTTTCATTTGGGGGCTGTTATGCATACGCCTCTGTGACCATTTGTGCACAAACATTTGTGTGTACTTATGTTTTCAATTTCCTTGGGTATATACCGGAAGTGGAATTGCTGGGTTCCATGCAAACTCATCTTGGGGAACAACCAAATTCTTTTCCAAAGAGGCTGTGTCATTTTATAAACTCAGTGGCAGCATCGGAGGATTCCAACTTCTCTGCAGCTTCACCAACAATTGCTGCCATCTCTCTTTTTCACTTTAGCTATCCTCGTGGGCATGAGTGGCATCTCAACCTACCTAGTTCTGTGGATGGTGGTCACAGGTGCCGGGCACGGGTTCAGCTTGCGAGGAACACAATGGAGAAGCAGCTGTCAGAGGAACCAGAGCTCAGAGTCGGGGGACAGGCATGGTTTTCACTCATGCATCAATCAGGGGCTTCAGGCAATGAACGGGCTGGACACCACAGGGACACCAAGAAAGGTACGATATGGCGCCCAACCTAATGGGCTCTTCTCATGAAGAATATGACCTTCACCAGCAATCTGCCCTCCCAACAACTATCCTTGCCCGTTGACTTAAACACCCCTCTACCCAGTCACCCCCCCATCCAACAACCAAACATTCAGCTAGCAGCCCCTCAAAACATCTGCCTGTCCATTCATCCGCCCATCCACCCAACCACCTGTTTACCCACCCAGTTTTGCTCTACCTGCCAATCCACTCATCATTTCATCCACCCATTCATTCACCCACCTATCGAGGAAGTCACCCATCCATCTGCCATTTAACCACTAGCCCATCAAATCATCTACCTGTACTCCCATTCAGCCAGCCACCTACCTGTCCATCCATCCATCTTCCCGTCTACCCATGCAACTATCCATCCACCTGTCCGTGCATCTGTCTGTCCATCTATCCATCCAGCCATCCTTCAACCACCAATTATTCAAACACCAGCCTATCAAATCATACACCCATCGATCCACCCACCCATCTGTCTATGCCTCAGTCAGCCATTGACCCGCCTGGACATCCTGGATACTGGAGTTGGGACCCCAATTTGGCTAACTCAGGCTGGGCAAGTTAGGGCACCAAGATACCCTGGATGCTGATAATCGAACATGGGCCAGAAGGACTTTCCCAGCCAGGCTTTCTCCACCTAAACACAAAGCCTTTGCTCCTTGATGGAGAAGCTTCTGCTCTCTCCCCTGACCAGTCACAGCCCCCACTCCATCGGCTTACACTTTGGGGCACACATTTCTCAGCATGCCCTGCTGTCTTAGTTATTTGGACATGGAATCATTCATTACATGTGGCGTCCACCATTTTTTGAGGCTTCTCTGTGATCCAGGAAACTGCAAGATCCTTTATCATTTAATTTTCACAAAGGCACCACCAGGCAGATACTAGATCAACAGTATCTAGATTCAGACAGAGAAACTGAGGCTCAGAGAAATGAAATATCTTTTTTTTAAAGGTTTTTTTAAAAAAAGATTTATTTATTTATGCATACAAGAGCTGGGGCACAGGCCAGGATGCGGGAGTGAGAGGATCCACCAGAGACAGAGTGGGGAGCAGAACAGGCAGACGGACTGAAATACACTGCTGAGGGGAGCAGCCGGGAGACAGGAGAGGTCTGCTGCGCCATGTGGGTTCCTTCCTCCCTGGCCGGCTGGGAATTGAACTTGTGTCGCAGAGGCTGCGGAATGCTTCATAGTGTGGCGCTTAACCCCTTGTGCCACCAGGGAGGCCCAGAAGTGAAATATCTTGCCCAGAGTCACACAGCGAGTCTAGAGAGAACCCAGCCCCTGGGCCCTTCCTGCGGCCTTGCCGAGAAGTGCAGTCTCTGAGGGGCTGTTGCAGAGAGGGAGGCGTGTGCTGCTGGCCTCCAGATGGGGCTGAAGGACGCTGAAAGCTGAACCTCCCAATGGTCAGCGTCACTAGTCACAAGGAGTCCTTGACCACCTGACCAGTGTCCTCTGGCCTTGCCCCTAGTCTTCCGGCAGACCCGCAGCCTGCTCAGGGCTATGTGGCGGCTGTTCCCTTCCCGGTGCCACTCACATCATCCTGGGTCCGAGCCACACGACACTTCCTCAGCCCCGTCACAGCAAGGTCCCTATTCTCCTCTCCTTATTGGCCTCTTGGGCTCTTCCTGCCGGTCCCTTCCATGGTTGTCCTGGATCTGCCGGGTGGGCATCTCCCGCCAGGTGGGATATTCCAGGAGGCAGGGACTGGCACCCAGAAGGGCACATGGCAGGTGCCGACAAACACCTGTGAACCCCAGCCCCTCTGAAATCTCATCCACCCCGCCCTCCCCCACTCTCTCCAGAGGCCGCTGCCCAACATGCCCAGCAGACCCAGCACATGGCCACTCGCCCAGGGACCCCAGGGCAGGCGCGGGTTACAGCGGACGCAGTGCCTGGGCAGTGGCTTCATTCCTGTGCCTCTTCCATGAAGGCTCCCGGTGCCCTGTCTGTGCCCCCAAACCCTCGGAGACTGTGAACCTCTCTTGAGCTAGGGCCTGGGAGCCAGGCCCCCAGGGCAGTCAGTCTGTCCCGCGACCCTGCGGCTGGCCTGGGCGTGGTCCCGCGTGAATGGACGGCCGCGCTGCGGCAGAGCCACTGGCTCAGGTGGCCGGCGCCGGTGGGATCTTGTTCCCTCGGACAGAGTCTGCTGTGGGGGGGACGGGGCAAGTGAATAAATCATGAGGGGCCTGGAGCGGAGCGGGGGCAGGACGCTGACCTCATTCGGGGAGGTGAGGAGCGGCGACCAGGCGGTAAGCGGGCTGTGGGCACAAGAAGGAGGCCCGAGGCCAGCGGGGGGCCCTCCCCACCCACCTCCACCCTTTCCCCTGAGAAGCAGGAGGGAGGAGGCCCCAGAAGCTAAGTGGGAGGTGCTGGCAGGAGGGGGGAGGGGGGGCGCAGAAGAGCAGAGGCCCCCAGCTCTGGGTGGGGGGGCGCCACCCCTGGAGGAGGGATAGTGGGGCGAAAAGGGAGAGCGCGGTGGACAGACAGACAGAGAGACAGACCGGCTTGAGACGGCCTGCGGGAGCAGCGGGAGGAACCGGCGGGGAGATGAGTGAGAGCAGGTCAGACGGGCCCACGGGGTGCAGCTGGATGGAGGCGGGCGGGCGCAGAGCGGGCGCAGAGCGGGCACGGTGGGGCAGAGCCCGAGGCCGAGGGAGGCGGGAGGTGCCGACTCCGTGAGCCAGGCAGGCACCTCCGGGGTACCGGGCCTGCAGGGACAGGGACAGTCTGGCCAGCGCGAGGGCTGGCGGGTGAGGGAGGCTAGACTGACAGGGGTGGCTGGGGTACTCTCAGGGACCCTGTGGGGCGCACACCCCCAGCCACCCGCTAAGCCACCCCTCCCTCAGGAGCAGAGCGACCTGAGGGGCGGCGTCCCTCAGCGAGCAGGAGGTGGCAAGCCCTTGTCTCCATGGCCCACCCCCAGGGCCCGGCAGATGACAGCCAACCCATGGGGGACCCCAGCCCCCATGAGGGCACCCCAGGGCCCAGCAGGGCCCCCACCAGCCCGGCAGCCGCCAGACGGGCACTCCTCCGGGAGCTCGAAGCTGAGGTGCAGGCAGCCTACGGGCAGGTAAAGGGGGCAGGGCATGGGGCTGGTCTTAGCTTTGGGGACCCCATACCCTAACTGAGGCCCATACAGGGCAGACACAGAGCTCAACCCAAGGAGGAGACTCTGTATGTGCAGGAGGGAGGCTGGACACGCCCCCACCTCTGTCCTCACAGAGCCCCTCGCCAGCCTGCGGCACCCCGCGTGGGTGCTCCAGCTTCTTGCCTGAGCACAAGGCGGGGCTAGTCCAGGCTGAGGGGGGCCTCTGAGGTGAGAGCCAGGGTCCTGGTGGGGATGGTGGGGCGGGCAGGGGCTCCCTGCATTCCGGGCTTCCAGTGGCGGGAAGGGCCTGCATGTTCCTACCACTTGGCGTCGTCTGCCCCCCAACCTGGCCCCTCGGGCCTCTGGAGTCCTCTTCCCAGGCCCAGACCCTGCTCCAGAGGACTTCCAGTCTCTCCCGATTGGACGCAGATGGGGTCGGGAGGCACTGGAGAGGGTGTCTGGAAACCCCCCAGGAGTGAACATGGGAAGGCTGCGCCTTCCGGGGGCCTTGGGCCCAAGTGGCCCCCTCATCAGCAGAGATGCTCAGAGAGAATCCTGGATGAGGACCCAAGTCCCATGCCCAGGTCCCCTGCCTGCCCACCCACCCCAATCTTCCCCATAAAGCCCCCCAGGAAAACCCCGAGTGTTCCCAGGCTTCCTGAGAGCTGCGAGGGGCTGGCAGGCACCCACAGAACTTGCTGAGGCCCAGTTGTGGGCGGCCCCCAGGACTCCAGGCCTGCTACGGTTCTGGGGCACATGGGCAACCGTGCCAGGCGACCCTGACACCAGGGACTTACAGTAGAAGGGCTGAAGGGCAGATGTCGAGGCCAGGAGGTCAGGCTGGACCCTGGAGGGGGTGGGCAGTGCCCTAGAGGGCCTGGGGCTGGGGTTAGAGGTGGGGAGGCATAGATGGGGGGTTCCCACTTCCCCAGATGTATATTTTTCCCTGGAAGCCCCAGACTCTGACCCATCCCCGTCATGGCTCCCCCAGACCCTGGAGCCTCAGGTCCCGCAGCCGCCCGTCTGACGGCCTGTCCTGCCACAGGTCTCTGGTCTCTATGGGCCCGTCCAGACCAGGGAGACGGAGCTGGAAGGCCAGGGGCTCCTGTGCCTCTAGCTTGCAGAGTGACCTTGGCCTAGTCCCTCGCCTTTTCTGGGCCTAGAGTATTGATGGGTGAGGCCCCCCATGTCCTGCGTCCCTTCCAAAGATAGGAGAAGCCAGTGAGTGGTGGCTGCTGCCCAGCTCGTGGCCAGCTCTGCTGCAGGCTGGCTGCCACAGGCCTGGCTCCCCCCGGGGCGCTCCTGCTACAGCCCTGGCCCCAAGGAGCAGGGTAGGGTCCTAGGCCAGGCATCCAGGGCTACTCAGCGCTCAACAGCCTGGTGGGGCCCGCCTGCATCTTCCCGCGGCCCAGCATCGCCGCGGCCCAGCTTGCATATATGGCCGCCGCCTGCCGCCCGCGCCGGTGTTGCCCTCCTCGAGTGGGGAGGAGCGGATTGCGTGGGACATCCGAGCAAAGGCACGCATATCGCACATCTGGGGGATGGAGGCAGAGAAGGCAGGAGAAACAGACATAAGCTCAAATGTGAGGGAGACTCAGGAAAGAGAAGAGGCAGAGAAATGTCAGACAGCCACCACGGGAGGCGGCAGGACCCCAGGAGGCAGAGCAAGAGATACTGGGCTCCCCAGGGCCACGCCTGGCAGAGGGCGCTCTGTGTCTGAGGCAGGGAGGTTTGGCCCCAGAGAGGCCGTGCAGGTGGCCGGGAGGGAGCCCCGCCGCCCAGGCTGGCCAGCAGGAATGGGCGGGAAGAGTCGGGTCTGCGCTTACAGGGGGTGGGGTGGGGAGTCCCGAAGACCAAGAAGGCCCAGGGAATTCCTAACACCTTGTGCCCTCTCAGGACCGGGAACTGCGGCCAGAGGAGATTGAAGGTAAAGTGGGGAAGGAACTGGAGGTCTCGGGAGGGGCGGGCATAGGGTGAGCACCAGGCGGGGCGGGTGGGGGGCAGAGAGCACCAGGTGGGGGGCTCAGCAGTCTCCAGAAGGCCCCAGGGAACGTGTGAGGGGAGATGAGGCCATGGCCGAGCCGGGAGGGGCTGGCGGGTCCCTGCTGTCAGTCCTCTGGTCCCTGCTGTCAGTCCTCAGTCTCACACGCCAGGTGGGCCACGGGCCCTTGTTGTATTCATTCAGCAAACACCTCCCAGGGCTGGCTCTGTGCCGGGCCCTGCGCTGAGCACCGGGAAAGGTGGCAAACTGGACAGAGATGGCCCGTGTCCCCAGAGACCGACGTCATCAGTCAACTCCAAGTACAACCATTACTATAAGTGCTTTCCAGGAAGGGAGCAAATGGTCGGAGGGGATCAAATTCAGAGGGAAGACGCCCTTGACCCGGCATAAGGAACAGAGCAGAGAGGACAGTGTTCTAGAACGCGAGCTCCACACACCAGGGATCTGTCTTCCCTTCTCTCTTTCTCCTCTCATAGTCACCGCCATGCTCCTAGTGCCCAGAGCAGGCTTGGCACATTGTAAACGCGCCTAAATGGTGGCTGAAAGGCTGAACACAGGAACTCCATGAGCAAAGGCCCTGAGGCAGCAAAGAGAACCTAATGATTGGCAGGCGGGAATGATGGGACCAAAGGGAGAAGGGTGAACCGGTCCGGGCTGGGGTCCAAGGGAATGTGGGGACACGAGCGGTCCGCTCTGCCCGCCAGAGCTGCAGGCCGCCTTCCAGGAGTTTGACCGAGACCGTGACGGCTACATCGGCCAGCGGGAGCTGGGCGCCTGCATGCGCACGCTGGGCTACATGCCCACCGAGATGGAGCTCATCGAGATTTCACAGCAGATCAGTATGTGCCCTGGGCCCGCACCCACCCCGGCCCCGGAGGACAGGGCCAGGGCCGGGCACACAGGCGAAGCACCGCCTGCACCTCGGCCCTTCCCAAGGCCAGGTCTTCCCCCGCGGAGAATCCCACCGCCCCCAGGAGTGGGGTGGGCGAGGACATCACCCCCGCTTTGCAGAGACAAGACTGAGTCTCTGAAAGCGAGGGATGGCCTGAGGCCCCGCGAGCAGGGCCCTGGAGCCAGGTCTGAATCCAACCCCAGGAAGTTTTCAAAGTGATTTCCCGTCCCTTTTGGCCAACTCTGCGCCTTGCTTGGAGGGACACGCAGATGCCCCAGGCCGGGACCGGGAGGAAGGGAAGGGGCGCCCGTGGGCGGGGGAGCAGGGCCAGCAGAGGAGGGCAAGGGCGGGCGGGGGAAGCCCGGGACCGCTGATGGGGTGGCCCCCAGGTGGCGGGAAGGTGGACTTTGAAGACTTCGTGGAGCTGATGGGCCCCAAGCTGCTGGCAGAGACGGCTGACATGATCGGCGTCAGGGAGCTGCGGGACGCCTTCCGGGAGGTGCGCCCGGGGCTGCCGGGCCGCTTGTCTGCTGGGTGGGGGCTCCGAGTGAACGGGTCGGTCTGTGACCCGATGCCACTGCAGTTCGACACCAACAGGGACGGCCGCATCAGCTCGGGGGAGCTCCGGGCGGCCCTCAAGGCCCTGTTGGGGGAGCGGCTCAGCCAGCGCGAGGTGGACGAGATCCTCCAAGACATTGACCTCAATGGGGACGGCCTGGTTGACTTCGAAGGTACCACCCCACGTAGCACCACAAGCCCCGCAAAGTTTTGACAGATAAATGATAAGGGGAGTGTTATCAGCGCGTGCCAGGCCCGCCCAGGGAACCATCGCTGCAACTCAGGAGGACAGAACCAGTGCTTTCCCCAGAAGCAGGATAAGAAAGTCAGTTCTTAGAAACCGGGGGTACCTGACAAAAGGAAATGGATGGAGCCAAGATTTGAGCCCAGAATTCAACGCTCCTCTATATTGCATTCTCCCGGGGGGGAAACTGGATAACATCACAAGAACCCAGGGAAATCAGTATGTACAAATTCCTGGAAGTCAGCGCCAAAGTTGTCCCTGAGCTTCCTAGCAGCCAAAGCAAAGAAGAAAATAGGTTCCATTATAAGAGCTTTTTGTTCGTAAACCAAAGTCCCTTCTTCCTGGCCCTGAGGCCTCCCAGAGCCAGGGGACTATTTTGCGGGCCCTGTCCTTGACCCCACACTCTCTCACCCCAAGACCAATAGCTTGGCTTCATCTCTCGGGGGATCCAGAGAGGAGACCTAAAATCCTTGGCCTTGTCCTGGCAGAGTTTGTGCGGATGATGTCTCGCTGAGCCTGCACAGCCACTCTGTGGCTGGGACGTGGGGACCACAGCTGCTAGAAGTCCCTGGAAGTCATCATCTGCAGGGGGATCCCCTGCCCTCCACCTCTGCCTGAGTGCACTGCCCCTCACCCCGACTCCTACACCCCTCCAAGCTCCCTTGACCATCTCCCTTTCTCTGACAATAAAGTGTGTCCAAACCAGGGGAGAGGACTTTCACCTTGTACTTGCTCACCCTGCATGACTCAAAAATTGAACCCCAGGGCCATCCAGGTGGCGCAGGGGTTAAAGACACAGAGCTATGAAGCTATCGCCAGTCACTGCAACAGGAGTTCGATCCCCGGCCAGGGAGGTGACCCACAGGGTGCAGCAGACCTCTCCTGTCTCACCCGCTGCTCCCCTCAAGCAGTGGATTTCAGTGGATTTGTCTATTCTGCTCCCCACTCAGTCTCTGGTGAATCCTCTCACCCCCGGCACCTCTGGCCTGCACCCCAGTTCTTATATGCATAAATAAATAAATCTTTAAAAAAACCCTGACCCCCCCCCAAATTAAGTCTCTGGCCTCAAGCCCCCTTGACTGTGAGCTCCCAGGGAGTGGGCCAGGGCCTCCCTGGATCCTCCACCCAGTTCAGAGCAAGTGTCGGCACCGCCCCGGGAGGAGTGAACCCAAAGCCCCTATCCTGGAGGCGGTGTGGGCCCCTCTTCTGAGAGAAGGTCAGCCGGTCCAGGGTGACCTCAGAGGCTGGAGCAGGTGCCGAGGGCTCCTCCCACTCTCTGGCTTTTACTCTTGCGGGGGGCTTGTACTCAGAGCTCCCTTCCAGAATGAACTTAGCGTTCAGCTGGAAGGAGCAAGTTAGCAGACAGGCTCGGCCGTGGCCCCGTCCTGCTGCCCTCAGCCTCCAGGCTGCCCTGTCAGACACCCAGTGAACACAGGGAGGTGAGTGCGTGCCCACTGCCACCTAATGCTCGATCCCCTCCCTGCCCTCAGCGCCCCTCCTTTAGATCCCGGGCTCACCGCCACAACCTGCCTCACCCCTCACCCCTCTCTGCATCCCTAGCTTCAGCTCAGGGTCTGCTCTCTAGGGGCACCAACGGGCGCGCCTCCAACACCACCTGGTCTTTATAGCCCATTTGCCAGGTTGAGAAAAGCAAGAGGCTGAGTTTCAGCGGCGTGCAGAGGTCACGCCTCCCCGCCGCCATCACTCCTTCCAGGCCACGGCGAATGCCGCCAGACTATCCTTCCCCAGTGTCACTCGGGCTTGCCACTCCTGTGCAGGAACTGACCACGATGCTGTATGACCCCCAGGCTCATCCAGCCCCTTGCCAGGCAGAGAGGTCCCAGGGGGGTGGGCAGAAGCCGCGTACACAAGGAGGAAGCAGAGGCGGGGCTAGATGGCACAGGCATGACCTCCCCTGCTTCTGTCTGCTGGAGGGGTGAGCCCTGACCGCCCTGCTGAGGGACTGGGGACTCTCAGGGCCGGCCCCTGACAGACAGCCTGGGACAGAGGGGGCGGGCGGGCAGTCACCGGAGCCCTGCTCAGCTCGGAGCCTGGACATGGAGATGCCAGGGCTGGCTGCAGCAATTTCAGTGCCACACGCCTGACAGACCCCAATTAATCCCTAATCTTCAATTAGGCGATCCCTCCTGCCAGTCTGGCAGGTCTAGGGATGAGGAGGAGATACCCTCCCCACCACTGCCATCTCTGGCTGGCGCAGATGGGCTTGCTGCCTAGGAAGATGTCTGTCCTCTCTGCAGAGGCTGCAGGTGCCAGGGGAAGGCCAGGACGCCACTCCAGGTCAGCCTCCCACCAGCCCTGGGTCCCCAGTTTGGCTGGTTCTGGGCTGGAGGGAGTAGGGTGACTGGCGGGACGAGCTTGATTGCAGTGTGCCCCCAACTCCCCTAAATCTCATGCATATCCTCCTACCTCAAAAAGATGGCTAGCCTAGAAGTTCAGCAGACAGCTGCAGGAGCAGGCACAGGAAAACCAGGCAGGCAGAGACTGTGCTGAGCTGAGAACCCCTCCCTCATCAGAAGGCCACCCGGCCACCCGGCCCCACCGCCGCCGGTCGGGACAGTCTGGAGCTACAAGATCATCGGGTACTCCAAGAGAAGCTGTAAATTCATATTTTGACATTAAATCCACTTCAGGTAGTTTGAGTATAACACATTCAGTGAGGTGTAGAAATCTCAAGTGTCCAGCTCAACGAATTTTTCCACATGTGTGCAACCAGGTAACCATCATCCACTTATTTTAAAACCATTCTAGATTTTACAGAATTATTTAGAAGATAGCACAGAGTGTTCCCATATAACGCCCACACACATGCCACCCAGCCTCTCCTGTGTGTTAGTCAAGTTCTCCAGAGAAACAGAACCAATTGGAGGTGTGTGAGTATGTGTGTTCCGAAAGATATTTATTGTGAGAAATTGTTAATTATAGTCCCAAGCTCTGTAGTCATCAAGTTAGGGACCGGGAGACAAAGTGTATAGTTTCAGTCTGAGTTCAAAGGCCCAAGAATGATGAAAGTCAGTGTTGTGAGTTTCAGTCTCGGGGCAGAAGAAGGATGTTCCAGATCAAACAATCAGGCAAGCAAGTCTCCTCCTACTCAGCCTTTTTTGTTCTATTCAGGTCTTCAACTGATTGGGGGTGGCCCACCCACATTGGGCAGGGCAATCTGCTTTACTCACTCCATAGATTTATTTATTAATTCATACAAGAACTGGGGTACAGGCCAGAGGGGCGGGGGGGGGTGTAAGAGGATTCACCAGAGACAGAGTGGGGAATGGAACAGATGGATTGACTGAAATGCACTGCTGAGAGGAGCAGAGGGGAGACAGGAGAGGTCTGCTGCGCCATGTGGGTAGCTCCCTGGCTGGGGATGGAACTTGTGCTGCGGTGGCTGCGGAGAGCTTCATAGTGCTGAGACAACCCCTTGTGCCACCAGGGAGGCCCCTCAGCCCATGGATTTAAATGTTCATCTCAGGCCTCCCTGGTGGCCTACAACTTGAGTCTCGGTGTTGTCACTGCCACCACCTGAGTTCGATCACCAACCAGGGAGCTGACCCACATATGGCTCAGCAGACATCTCCTGTCTCCCTGCTGCTCCCTTCAGCAACGTTATTCAGTAGTAGATCAGCCTGTTACGCTCCCCTCTCTGTCTCTGGTGAATCCTCTCACCTCCCGTACGCCTGGCCTACATTCCTGTTATTCTAAGCAAAAAAAAAAAAATCATCTCATCCAGAAATATAGTCCCAGGTACACCCAGAATGGACTTTGACCAAGTGTCTGGGAACCTCATGACCCTGTCAAGTGGACACAAAAATAAACCATCACATTCTCAGTTACATCCTAAAACTGAATGGGACGTAGATCACAGCCAATGAACTAATAATGATACATTGTGATTAATTCAGTTCAGCATTTTATAAATGTATCAGTGGTTCCCTTCTTTTGTTCCACAATGTAACCCAGGGTGTCAGTTACATTCGACTGCCCCGGTTTCTCTTGGCTATGATGGTTTTCCAACTTTTCTCCCTATCTTTCTTTGTTTGTTTGTTTTATGGTGTTTATTCATTTTTAAAGATCTTGACCGTTCTGAGAAGGGCTGGTCAGGTGTTTTATACACTGTTCCAAAACTGGGATTTGCCTGATATTTTTCTCTCATGACAGGAAGACAGATGCAAGACCATTCTCCTCCCCTCACATCAAGGGCTCCTCACTACTGAGGTTGGATTTGATCGCCCAGCTGAAGGCAGTGTTTGTCAGGTTTCTGTGCTATTAAATTACTTTTCCCTCCCTTTACTTACTATGTTCTTTGGAAATCATTACACTCAGCCCACACAGGGCGGGAGTTGTAATTCACCTCATTAAGAGCAGAGTATGTAAATTAGAATTCTTCTGTATGGGAGATTTGTCTCCTTATTCATTCATTCAATCACTTTTTCATATCAGTATGGACTCAAAGATAGATCCTATAAATCCGATATTACTTTGCTTTTCAAGCAGTCCCCGCCGTGCTCACGGGGAGGGCTCTCCTGCGCACGTGTGTCCCTTTAACACACGCCTGTCCTTGCGAGAGGGGGTTGGTTTCGTCCGTAGCCTTAACTTAGACAATTAATTTGGACTGAGGGTCTCTGCTCTCGCCCTCGAACCTGAGGGCATTCCGGACCTGAGAACCGTCCAATCCTAAGAGGCGCGGCGCGGCGGTGGCGTTGGGGAGGGACCCGTTGCCATGGGAACAAAGGCTTTAGAGCGCATGCGCACACGGGGACGCGGTGTCGAGCCGGTGAAAGGTGACGTAAAGGCGCACGGGGTGGGGCGCAGGGCTCGGGACGTCAAAGCCCTGCGTCCTCCGGAGCCACCGCGGAGGAAAGGCGCGCTCGGCAGCGGCGGCGGCGACAGCAGCCCCAGACCCGGCGGCGCGAAGCTGACGTGAGAAGAGGCGCGAGTGAGGCGCGAGGGCTGCGCCCGCGCCGGGGAAAACCTACCTCGGAGCGCGACCCGCGGCGGACCAGACTCCCGTCCGGCTCCCGAGGCCCCGCCCCTCGGGCCTCGGGACTAATCGGATTGAGAGCGCGCCGGCCGGGGCCGCGAACTCGCCAATTGCGGTGGGCGTCGGCCACCGCCCAATCCGGAGCAGACAGGTGCGAGGTCCGGAAGGCGGAGGCCAATCAGCGGCGGTTGCGACCAGTGGGGCCCGGCCCCGGCCAATGAGGAGGCCCGAGTGACGTCTCCCTGCGCCAATCGGGAGTGAGGGCGTGTTCCTGCCCGCCCGCCCTTCCGGCCTGGGCTCTATTTACCAGGGGCGTGCAACCCGCTTGCCAATCAGAGCGCGGCTGAGCGGCCCGGCAGCCAACCCCGGAGGAGCGGCCGGCCGGCGTCCGCCGCACCCAGGAGTTGGGGATGTCCTACAAGCCCATCGCCCCCGCCCCCAGCAGCACCCCCGGCTCCAGCACCCCCGGGCCCGGCACCCCCGTCCCCACAGGTGAGCGCCCGCTCGGCCCCGCCCGCCCGCCGCCCGGGCGGCCGAGCCCTCGGAGAGGAGACGGCCCGAGTCCGCGGCGCCGGGCCTGCCGCGCGCCCGGCCGAGCCTCAGTCTGCGGGGCTGCGAAGTGGGCGTGGCCCGGGGGCCGGGCCGGGGCGCGCCGGGGGAGGGCGCCCCGCCGTCGGGAGGCCGAGGGCGAGCGTGGGGCGCGGGGCGGCCGCGTCCCTGCCCCGCCTGACCGCTCGCCGTTGCAGCCGGGAGCGTCCCTTCGCCGTCGGGGTCGGTGCCGGGAGCCGCTGCCCCTTTCAGGCCGCTGTTTAACGACTTCGGGCCGCCGTCCATGGGCTACGTGCAGGTGAGCGGGGCGGCCTCGCGCGCGGCTCGCGGCCCAGCCCCTCCGCGCCTGAGCGCCCCCCGTGCTCTCGACCCAGGCTATGAAGCCGCCCGGCGCCCAGGGCTCCCAGAGCACCTACACCGACCTGCTGTCCGTCATCGAGGAGATGGGCAAGGAGATCCGGCCCACCTACGCCGGCAGCAAGAGCGCCATGGAGCGCCTGAAGCGAGGTGAGTGCGGCGGCCCGCGCCCTGCCCCGGGCCCGCGCAGCCGGCGGTTCGGGAGGGCAGGGCCGCCAGACGGGACCAGGCTGGCCCACTCCCCAGCGAGGCGCCGCCAGCTGACATTGCATCGAGTCCGTTTCCAGGGACTGACCAGGAATTGGTGTTTCAAGGGGGCGAATCTAAGGATTGGCCGGCGCGGCGGCGGGGTGCTGAAGGGGGCAGGGGCGGGGGGCCTTCGGGAGGGCGGGGGTGAGACGGTGGAGGGTCTCTGAGACCCCGTTTGTTACCTCCCCACTCCCACCCGCCCCACCCCAGGCATCATCCATGCCCGGGCCCTAGTCAGAGAGTGCCTGGCGGAGACAGAGCGGAACGCCCGCACGTAACAGGACGCGCCTCCGCCTCGGCGTCTGGACCTTTCCCGGCCACTGCAGAGCACCTGCTTCTCCCTGGCCTCCACCCCGAGTTGCACTTCCCATCCTGGGCTTCCTGTCCTGTGTCCCTCGGTGGGTGCCCTCCAGGAACCAGGGGCCACGCTCTCACTCCAGTCGGCAGCGCTAACTGGGAACCCACGGTAGACAGCGGCAGGTCCCCGAGCCCCATGACCCGCCAGCAGCGTGGGCCCAACTGGAGCACTCTGCAGCCCCCACCACACAGCACTAGCCCCGCGCTCCCACCCAGTCCCCTTCTCCCCCGCAGGGCCTCGGAAGGCCTGTCACCTCCCTGCCTTGTCTCCTGGGCCACAGCCACTTTTTTCTCAGTGTGTCTTTTGCTAAATATGCCCTTTTTGTATAAATAAAAGATAATTTGGAGTTGTTCTCTCAGCTGTGAGTCTGAGTCTGGTACTTGTAATACGCCCGGGTGGGCCAGAGGGAGGGGGACTAGGGGTGGGAGACGGTTTTGGGAGGGGCAGACTGGGCCTGGCTCTCTGGTGCCATCCATGGGCCCTGGTGGCACCTGCCCCTCTGGGCCCCCAGCCTTCCCCAGCTCTTAGTACCTCTAGGACAGGACTCACTCCAGCTGCGCCTGGTCCTGCCCACCTTCAGATGGTGCCACCAGGGGGCAGCGCTGGTCTTGCTGCCTCCACTGCTGCAGCCACTGCCCCAGCTGGGCATAGAGGCGTCTCTGGATCAGCGGTCATGCTGGCAGAGTAGAAAATGCCAGTTCATCGAAGTCACACCCTCTCATGCTTTAATGCCCTGATACCCTCAACTCCCAGTCGGCTGGGGAGCTCTGAAGACACCTCATCTCTGACCTCCGCAGGCCACAGGGTCCGCTGCCTCCCTCCCCAGCACCTGGGAGGCAAGAGCCCAGGGGAGACCGGCTGGGCGTGTCATCCACTGCCCTGGGGCATCCAGCCACCTGGGTGTGGTCCCCTGAGCCCAGCCCTTGGTGTCTCAGCCTTTGCCCAGGGTCTGGTTGGCCAGACTTGTGCACCGGGAAGGTACAGGTGGTGAAGGCCACGGGCGCCATGCAGGGGCTAGCAGGGTGACTGCCGGTTGCTGAAGGAGCCCACCGAGCCTGGAGGCCCCGGGGCGCTGGAGCCCCACCCCTAGGTAGAGGCAGGTCAGAGAAAGACCCGGCCAGCTGGGCCAGACTCAGTAGGGAGGCATCTACCTTGCTCTGGTCCCAGGTCCAGGGGCCCGGAGTGGAGGGGATGGGCCCCCGCCGTGTTCCCGCAGCACCCGGGGGGCCGGGCAGGTGCAGACAGGAACCAGGGTGCTCTGGGGAGCCAGGGCGCGCGAAGGGAAGGAAAAGCGCGGCGCTGGGGGAGCAGCCTCCGGCCCCGCCGCCGCGAGGGGAAGGAAGGCCCCGCCGCCCTCCTCCGCCGCGGGCGGGGCCGCCCGGACCCCGCAGGGTGGGGGGGGCCGGCCGGGCCCAGGAAGGGGGCGGGGCGGCGGCCGTGACGCGGCGGGCGAGGGGAAGGACGGCCGGGGCGCCGCGGGCGGGCCGGGAGGAAGGTCGGGGCCATGGGCGCGCGCTGCGCCTCCGGAGGGTCCGGCGGCTGCTGGAGCCCGAGGCCGGGCCTGGGGTGGGTCCGGGGTGCGAGCCGAGGCGCCGCCGCCCGCGCCCGTGCGGGGTGAGGGGCGCGCGCCCGCAGCCCGAGGTGAGCCGGGAGCGCGGGGCAGCGGGAGCGGGGCCGGCGGGGCCTCCAGCCTGCGCGCGGGGGCGCGGGAGGGGCGCCGGCCGCGGGGCCGGGGCGCAGGTGGGCGGAGCGGGCCTCCGGCGGGGCCCTGGGAACATCTGGGCGGCCGCTTCCGCGGCCCGGGGGCCGCCCCGGGAGGGAGACCGCGGCGGCTGCGCGCGTGAAGCGGGGGTCCCGGGGGGATGCTGGGGCGGGCAGGTCCGAGACGGCGCTGCAAGCCTGGAAGGGGAGAGCAGGTCTGGGGGCGAGGGGTGTCGCTCCTGGCAGGGAGGTTGGGGGCGGGGCGGGGCGCCCGGGGATGTTGAGGAGACGGGCTGCTCCACGGACACCCGGGGACAAGGTTCTCGCTGGCGTCCGGGGTGGGGACACCTCACCCCACCAACCCAGGGAAGCGAGGGGGGCGGGGCCCGGGGGGCCGGCGGTGGGGGCGGGCCCGGAGGGAGGGGCCCGGGGGCTCCGGGGGGCGGGTCCCCCGAGCGGCCGCGCTGGGGGCGGGGGTCGCGGGCGCCGGTGGCGGGCGACGCGGGCCGGCTCCCGCCGCTCGGGGGGCCGCGTCAGCGCGCGGTTGCCTTGGCGACGGCCGGGCGGGGGGCGGGGGCCGCGCGGAAAGGAGGTCAGCGCTCGGCCTCGCGGCGGCCCCGGCCCCGGGCGGCGCTGGCGGCGGCGCGGGGCTCGCCTCTGCCTCCCCGGCGGCCGGCGCGGGCATGGGGCCCCTCGGCCCGAGCCCCTCGGCCCGCGCGCAGGACTCGGGGGCGCGCGCCGCCGCCCCGCGCTGACGGCCTCGCCGTGCCCTGCGCCAGGCGGAGCGGAGGCCGCGCGCGGCCGGCCGGGCGCCCTCAGGATGCTCATCAAGGAGTACCACATCCTGCTGCCCATGAGCCTGGACGAGTACCAGGTGGCCCAGCTCTACATGATCCAGGTGAGGGCGGCGGGCGGCCCCGGGCCAGGCTTCGCGCTGCGAACGGCCGGTCCGGCCGCACCCAGCACCGGGCCGGGCCCAGCGCCACCCATCCAGCCCGCTCCTGGGCTTGCGAGGCTCGGTGGCCAGAAAGCGCGAGGCCCCTTTCGGAGGCCGGGGAGAGGGGGCGAGGGCTGCGGGGGGAAGGAGCCGAGGAGCCCGCGGCGCCACCCAAGGGCCCACCCCAGCAGCCAGCCCGGCCCAGCTTGCGCTCCTTAAATCCTCCTTAGAATCTGTAGTGGGGGGGGCGCATGAAGAGGCAGGACTGACCGCACCTGGGAGGGGGTCCCCGCAGGGTGCAGGATTCTGGCAACCCAGGAGGCCAGGGAGCTAGAATAATAATCAGCCCCAAACTGACGGAGAGGGCAGGCAGGGACCCCGAGGGTGAGGGAGGGAATTCGAGCTAAGTGGAAGGGGAGGGCAGGAGCGGAGAGAGGAGGGACAGGCGGGCCCTCTGGGGGGGGAGAGGGTTGGTGCAGGGCCTGAGGGACACCTGTTCCAGATGTGTTCCCAGAAGCGGGCGCAGAGTCCGAGGAGGCCTGAGTGGGCAAGCTCCGGTTCCAGAGTCACAACAGGACAGGCTATGAGGCTCTCGCACTCCGAGGGGTGTGGCAGGAGCTGGAATTGGGGACCCAGAGAGGGTCAGGGTCAGGTCCTTGGAGAGATGGGGGCCCCTTGCACTCTTCTAGATGCTTCCAGCCGTCCCGCCAGGGCCGCCTTGCTGCCGGAGCACACTCCCCCCTGGGAACTTGCCCAGACCCTCCTCTGCCTGGAATACCCCCCATGCCACCCCCCAGCCACTCAGCGCCTTCCCTCCCCACCTTCATGTCATGTTTGAATCTTGGCCTCCAACCATCCTGTCAAAACAGTCCCCATCTCTACCCCGCTCACCCTGTTCTACTTTCTTTCCCACGGGGCGTATCACCCTCTAACAGTCCGTGATTGCTTTTTTGTTATCTGTCTCTCTCCACTAGAATACAAGCTGCAGGAGGGCAGGGGTTCATTCTGCTTATCAACAGATCCCAAATAACAGAACCCCAAACAGTACCTCCACACAGCACAGACCATACCTGAGCTGAGGTTGCAGAACCCCAGGGGGTACTGGACAGTTGTGATCCTGACCCCAGAGCCAAGGGGACCAGGGTCCCATTTCAGGGAGTTGGAAAGGCCAGGACTAGGGCCCCGAAGCTGTGCAGGGGGCAAGGCCAAGGTGGCCCGCAGGAGCTGAGCTGCCTGTTCTGCTTGGTCCTGGGCTCCAGAAAAAGAGCCGGGAGGAGTCGAGTGGCGAGGGCAGTGGCGTGGAGATCCTGGCCAACCGGCCCTACACGGACGGGCCCGGCGGCAGCGGGCAGTACACACACAAGGTCTACCACGTGGGCTCCCACATCCCAGGCTGGTTCCGGGCACTGCTGCCCAAGGCCGCCCTGCAGGTGGAGGAGGAATCCTGGAATGCGTATCCCTACACCCGGACGCGGTGAGCAGGGGGGCTGGCGTGGGCCTGGGCCACCGGGAGCGGCCCTGTGGGCACAGCTGTAACCCCAGCCCTGGCCCCACCCAGGTACACCTGCCCCTTCGTGGAGAAATTCTCCATTGAAATAGAGACCTATTACCTGCCTGATGGGGGGCAGCAGCCAAATGTCTTCAACCTGAGCGGGGCGGAGAGAAGACAGCGCATCCTGGGTGAGGCCTGAGGCCGGCAGGGGACCCCGGCGGGCGGCCTCCGCCAAGCCCCGCGCTCTCGCAGGCCTTGGCTTCCTGTCTGAAAGGCCACCCTCCCCGTCCCGAGGCAGGAAGGGGGGGCTGGTGGGGGCTGGCGAGGTTCAGTGCTGCCCGACCCCCTCAGACACCATCGACATCGTGAAGGACGCGGTGGCCCCGGGGGAGTACAAGGCAGAAGAGGATCCCCGGCTGTACCGCTCGGCCAAGACGGGCAGGGGGCCGCTGGCTGACGACTGGGCCCGCACGGCCGCGCAGACGGGACCCCTCATGTGCGCCTACAAGCTGTGCAAGGTGGAGTTCCGCTACTGGGGCATGCAGGCCAAGATCGAGCAGTTCATCCACGACGTCGGTGAGTGCCCGGCGGGGAGCTTCCCTCTCCCGGCAGCCACAGAACCCCCTCGCCCGCGTCTGCCGCGGTGAGGCTGAGGCACAGGGGAACGGCGCCGCCTGGCCAGCGTGCGGGCCGCCTGGCCCCGACGCCCCGGGGAGTCAGGACGAGAGGCTGGCGACGTGGCCCCTGACGTCCACATGGCTCTGACATTCAGAGCCGCCGCTTCTAACCCACTGGGACCCTCAGACTCTCCATCCTTCCGCAGGACCTTCCAGACTTGCAGGAGGGTCTCCAGCCCTCATAGGCAAACAGGCTAAGGATGTCATTCTCTCGAGGTGCCCTCCCACCCCCCAGCTCCCAGACTTCCATCTGCTGGCGCTGGAATCCAGGAACCCCAGTTCCATGCACCCCCCCCCCCAAACCTAACCCTCAGTTCCCAAAGTTCGGCCCTGGGCCACCTGCAGGGAGAAGGTCCATCCCTGGGTGGGGGTGTCCAGGGGCCTGGGGTCCTCTCCATGATGACTGCGTGGGGTCCCCCAGCAAGCCACCTCCCATCTGCGCACCTCGACACTCCCTCTGGACACGAGGAGGAGGTTGGGCCAGACACTGAGCTAACAGTGACCAAGCGACCAGCACGTGACCCGACATGCCAGATCCTTCGCTAATTTTCATGCCAGCTTTCCTTTCAC